AAAGGCCAAGGAAGAACTTCAACTTCCACGCCCATCTGAAAAGATCAAGGTAGACTCCATCCTCCTCACCAGAACGGTGTCAGAGGACATCTACTTAAACAGAAGATCTGAATATAATACAGAGTCTTGTCTTTGTTTCTTTCTCATTGCTGTGATAAAATTCCCTAACAAAATCAACTTAAGGGAGAAAGGGCTTATTTCAGTTCACAGTTCCAAGGGATAGTGTCCATCATTATGTGTAAGACATGGCAGCAGGCAGGGAAGGCATGGTGGCAGAGCAGGAGGCTGGCTGGTCACACTGCATCTGCACTCAGGAAGCAGAGAATGGACAGGAAGTGGGCCCAGGCTATAAAACCTCAAGGCCCACTCCCAAAAACCCACTTCCTCCAGCAAAACTCTACCTCCTAAAGGTTCCATAGCCTGTCTAACTAGTGCCACCAGCTGGAGACCAAGTGTTCAAACATGTTAGCCTATAGGTGATATTTCATATTCAAACCACAATACTTACAATACCTAAAATAGCCAACATATAGTTTTCAATTATTTGTATGCAGATGTGCAAATATTTCTGTGCATGTGGAGGCCAGAGATGGAGGTTTCATATCTTCTTCAATCTCTCTCCACCTTATTTTTCGAAATAGAGTCTCTCCCTGAACCTGGAACTTCATTGATTCAGCTAGGCTGGCCAACCAATGAGCTCCAGGGATCTGCCCATCTGTCCCCTTCACTCTCCCAGTGCTGGGATTACAGATGCAAGCATGCACCTTACCAACTGAAGCAACTTCACCAGCTCTAAAATCCCGATATCTTTTTAAAAAATATTTTATCTATTATTTTTATTTTATGTGTATGTGTGTATTGCCTGCATGTAGATAAGTGCACCCATGTTGTGCAATGCCCGTGGAGGACAGAAGAGGCTGTCGAATCCCCTGGAGCTGGAGTTACAGACTGTTGTTAGCTGCCATGTGGGTGCTGGGATTCGAACTCGGGTCTTCTGCAAGAACAGTATTCTTAACCACTGTGCTCTCTCTCCAGCCCCTCAAGATATCTATTTTTAAAATCTCACTCATTTTGCTAAGATTCCAGAAAATTTCAGTTAATAAAAAAAAAGCAACAGACTCCAACATATAGATGCCTGAATTATCAGACAAGGATTTTAAAACTCCTATGATAAAAATAATTTGATGAACACTTAAAAACAAATTTATGACAAATGATTTTTAAGAGTCTTGGTAAGAAACAGTCTTCACAAAGGAAAAGAAGATATGAGGAAATGGACAGATCTGAAAAGTTCAGTCATCAAAATTATACTCACCAAATGGACTTGGTGAGCAGAATGGAGGGGACAGAAGACCTACTTGTCTGTCAGTGAGCCTGAAAACACAATAGTAGATATCATCCAACCAGAACAACGAAAATAGATGTTTTTAAAAAATTAGCACCACAGCGAGAGAGATAGCTCAGCAGTTAACAGTGTGTGCTGCTCTTCCACGGGTCTCAAATTTGGTTCCTAGCACTCACACCAGGTGACATATAACTGCCTGTAACTCCAGCTCCGGCAGAAGCTGATGATTCTAGTGGCACCTGAGGGCACCTGGGCTCATATGTGCATACATGTGAGCACACACACACACACACACAATTTAAAATAATAAAAATATTGCCTGAGTGTGGTGATGCATACCTTTAATCCCAGCACTTGGGAGGCAGAAGCAGGCAAATCTCTGTGAGTTCAACCCCAGCCTGATCTACATAGTGAGTTCTAAGCCAGCTGGGGCTACAGAGAGACTCTGTCTCAAAAGGCCAATAATAATAATAATAATTTTTTTGAAATTAGCACTCAGGGGCCTAGAAAAGTGGTTCAGTGCTCTGTATGGAGAATGATCTGTGATAGTCATGCTTTCCAATGAATTTTTTTTTATTTTATGTGTATGCATGTATTGCTTGCATGTTAAGTAAGTGCACCTGTGTCATAAAATGCCTGCGGAGGTCAGAAGAGGCTGTCGGATCCCCTGGAACTGGATTTATGGACAGTTGTTAGCTGCCATGTAGGTGCTGGGTCTTCTGCAAGAACAGTCAGTGTTCTTAACTGCTGAGCCATTTCTCCAGCCCATGAATGTGTTTTTTAAGTATACAGCAAGCAGGAGTTAAAGAATAAAAAGCAGGGGCTGGAGAGATAGCTCAACGGTTAAGAGCACTGGCTGCTCTTGCAGAGGACCCAGGTCTAATTCCCAGCACCCACATGACAGCTAACAACTGTAACTCCAGTTCCAGGGGAATCTGACACCTTCTGACCTCTGTGAACATTGCAGGACATGGGTGCACTTACACACATGTAGGCAATACACTCAAACACATAAAATAAAAACTTTTTTTTTTTTTTGGTCTTCTTCAGACAGGGGGTCCCTGAAGCCCCAGCTGTCCTGGAACTCATTATGTAGACCAGGCTGGCCTCGAACTCACAGAGATCCACCTGCCTCTGCCTCCCAAGTGCTGGGATTAAAGGCGTGTGCCACCACGCCAGGCCAATAAATAACATTTTTAAAAAAGAAAAAGAAAATAGCAGATAATGAAGCATCAGATCAGACACAGCAACCAGCCAAAAACAGCTGGAGAAGCAAACAGTCAGATGGAGCCTCTGACTCACAAGGAGGGTCCCAGGGAAAATGTCTTCTGGGTGAGACTTCTGATTAACCATCCCACCATAGGCATTTTTATATCAGTAAACAGTAGCTGAGTCTTTTGCTTTGAGAAGGTGCCTGGGAATGATTTACCTTTCAGCTCTCTTCAAGGACACAATATTTCTACTCAAATGATTTACTCTCCTGTTTTCAAAGGCATGCTATTTTTACTCTTGGGCTATTTTGCTGTTTTCATTTTCTTTTCTTGCAGGACGAGGGGGCTAGCCCATCTGTGGAAAAGGGGTCTTGGAAGAAACTTTAAGACAGTCATGCTTGGGTATGGAAGTAGGGGAAAGAGCTATCCAGCTTCCAGAGGCAGCTTTGCAGTGAGTTTGCTTTTGTTTTTGTTTTGGGGTGTTTTTGTTGTTGTTTTTGAGACAGGTCTCCCTGTAACCAAGCTTGCTTGGAACTCAGTATGTAGACCAGGCTGGCCTTGCTATCTATCCTGGTTTGTTTCTCCAATGCTGTAACAAAATACTCTGACAATACCAACTTGGGGAGGAGAGGGTTTATTTAACTTACATCTTCTAGGTCACAGTTCATCCAGGAGCCCAAGGTAGGAACTCAGGGCAGGAATCTGAAGGCAGGAGCTGCAGTACAGGCCATGGAAGAACACTGCTTACTGGCTTGCTCCCTGGCCCCTGCTCAGCCTGCTTTCTTATGCAACACAGGCCCACCTGCCCACGGGTGGCACCACCCACAGTGGGCTGGGCCCTCCCACATTACTCAACAATCAAGAAGATGCCCACGGACATGGCCACAGTCCAGTCCAATGAAGGCAATTTCTCAACTGAGGCTCCTTCAACCCAGGTGTGTCAAGTTGACACTAAAGCTATCTAGCACACTATCAGAGAGATCCACTTGCCTCTGCCCCTGCCTCTCTGGTGTTAGCATTTAAAGGCATGCCTGGCTTTTTGCAGTGAGTTTAAACAGCACATAACAATGTACTGATATAATGTATATTACACTCAGCCAATAAAGTGTATGTCATGCAAGCATGAGGACTTGAGTTCAGGTCCCTAGCACACATAATAAAAAGCCAAGTGTGGCAGCACAAGCCTGTAATCCTAGCACTGGTGGAGCCAAGACAGGAAGATCTCTGGGCTTGCTGGCCAGCCAATCTAGCCAAATCAGTGAGTTCTGGGTTCAGTGAGAGACCCTGCCTCAAAAACTAAGGTCAAGAGCAATAGAAGAAGACAACTGGCATCCATCTCTGGCCTCCACAGGCACACACACACACACAAAATTTGCACTCCAGAATTTATGAGGCTTTATCAAAAGACCTGGTAGTTAGGCTACGAGATCAAGGTTGGCCTGGTCTACATAGTGAGTTCCAAGCCAGCAGGGACTACAGGGAGAACCTGCACAAAAACAAACAACAAATAAATGGCTGAAGGAAATTCTTGAAACAAAAGAATCTTGAAACAACAGGAAGGGAAGAAGGACAGTGGGAGCAAAATATGGCAAGTTGGGTAGATTTTCCTCTCCACTTGAATCCTGTATGTTTGACAGTTAAAGCAAAAATTACATTATCTGATGAAGTTCTCAACTCAGGAATATTAAAGACATCTAAAAACAAGATTGAGAAAAAGGACTTCACTGGAGGCAAAGTGTCTAACAATGTCACTAGAACTGTAAAATGTCAACACCAGTATACGATGTTAACTGCTCTAATCTATAAAATGTGGATTTGGACATTTTAGCAGCTTGAGGGCATATGGAAGCAGGTATATTCGGCAGCTGGAAAGATGGCTGACTCTGCTGTAGACGAGGGGAAAATAGCCAGTCAAGAAGGCCTCACACGCTAGAGAGTGAGTGAAGGAGCACGGGTGGAAAGAGGAGGAAAAGAGCTCCTATCTCTGAGAAAGGAAAACACTGACCGAAGATACACTTTTCTTGAGACGGTCCATTTATCCCAGGCTGGCTTTGAACTCCCTATGTCTCTGAGGATGACCTTAAATTGATCCTCCTGCGTGCTTGGGATTACAGGCAAGTGTCACCACGCCAGGTTTATGCAGTGCTGGAGGTGGAACACAGTCTTGTGCATCCTCAGCAAGCGCCTTACAGCCCCAGTCCCAAAATACGTATTTAAGGGGAAGTGAGAGAGACTGCGGTGGACTCTCCTGTCATCTGCTGAAAGAAGGAACAAACCGAGGCGAAGGACTTGGAGATCCCGGGCGGGATGAACACCCAGAGACAGAAATTCGGGGAGTGTCAGGAGCTAAATCCAATTTCCAATCAGGCTACTTCAAACTGTAAAATAACGAAATATCCACCAGGCGGCGGCGTCTGCGGAGGCTCGCGTATCCCATCAGCCCAGGCGCTCTGCGTGGATGTGGACTCTCTGGTCCGCATCACGTCTACTCTCCCGTCCCAACTGACGTTGGGCAAAGATGGCGGCCGGAACAAGCAATTACTGGGAAGGTGAGGGCGAGGCATCCGGGTGGGTCCGGCTAGGGGCAGACTGGGCTGACGGATTGGGACTTGAGGGAGGCCGTCGAGGAAAGAGCCAGACCTAACGGACGGCCTGCTGGGGGCTGAGCCCAGCCGAGTGGAACCCGGGGCCTGGGAACGCGGGGAAGGGGCTGGCAGGGGCTAGCCGGACCTGGCGGACTGAGCCGGACCAGGGAAGGGACCGGGGATGGAGGCTCCTGATCAGCTCGACCTGGGTGAGGGGTGGTGGAGCTCCGAGGACCGGCCGTGGTTAAGCTGGAGAGGAGACGGGTGCAGAACGAGAAGATCCAGAGCCCGGAAGACTGGAGTACTCAGTACCTTGGAGCTGAGGTCACTGTCGGAAAATCGGGGAAAGGAGGAAATTGTCAGTCCCGGCCATCGAGAGGAAGAGTGAACCGAATGTCTCCTCCTGGGTCCCAGTTGGCAGCTTCAGATTGAGACTTCGTGGGGATTGGGTGATTGATGACAGAACTGCCTTCTGCCACAGAGGCTAGGGTCGGTTTTGTTGGAAAGATAAAGTTAAAAGAAGTTGAGTGGGTTCTAATGAATACGTTCGCTTCTTCCACCAGGATACTTTCAAGTGCATTTATTTAATTCCTGAAAATGTGGTCCAGTCAGGTGAGGTCATATAAAACATTACTGGACCATGATGAACCACAAAAATCAGAAACGGCTCACCTCACCTTTTTCTTGGAAGTGTTTGCTTTTCTACTCTTAAAAAAATAATAACAACTCTTGACTTTTACCTGTTTCCTCTTGTTACCTACCTACTGAAGCCGCTGGAAACCACAGCTTTGCCACTATCAGCCACTCGATCCAAGAAACTGAATCTTAAGTTCATACCGGTCCTATTTTCAAAATGCTTTTTACTTGATGTTTTCCATTAGAAAGATAATTACTAGAATTACAGAGAGGCAAGCCTGTTGTTGCTCAAAATAGGTATTAAAATGTCCAGGTAAAGTATTTGTAAAGTAGCTAAAATACATTTTTAAATTATGCCGACGTGGTTGCTGGTATGTAATAGTCACTCGACTGGGTTTTTGAAACACTATACTGTAATAATTATAGCAAGTCTTGATCGGCAACATACCTTGTGCCAGATGCTTTAAGCATATAATTACTAATGCTTAGAAAAACCCTAAAGGTAGAAGTTTTAAAAAACAAAAGACCAGTATTCTTAGGTGAATTGGAGTGTCATTAAATCTCAGAGTCAAGTTAGGTGGCTGATCTGAGATTTGAACTGGAATTTGGTCTCTGGGTAGATAGATAACTGTGTAACTCTGCTTCCTGCCTCTGGTTGCAAAATAAAATGAAATAAATATTTTTGTTTTCCTTATCCGTGAGACATTTGTAAACTATTCCTGTATTTCAGTCCTTTTATTTTAAGCCCACTTGATCATGAATAGAAGTAGTCAGGTACATGTAGGGAGGTCTAGCACTGCTTTTCCTTCAGCCCCTAAGATGCCAAACTTAACACCAGTTTCTCTTTTTGCTTCTACCTTTAAAACTTAGGCTTTTTTGTTTGTTTTTAACTGCTACAGTTGTATTTGGTCTTGTTAGTAACACATTTTACCTTCCATTTTTTTCCCAGTAACTTTTTGGAAAGGCAATTTTTAATTTTTGTTAATTTGTGTTTTTTTTATGTCCAATTGCTAAGTCATTTTACTATTACAAAAAGAATCCCAAAATGCTAACAAAACTTTGGAACATAAAAAGTGAAATATCTCTCAAAAAGACCTATATCTGCTTATAGAGTTAACTGGTAAATTGATGTGATGGTTATAAATCATACTGCTTTGTGGCTTATATTCTCTTGTGTTTTCCTTTGAGTTACAGAGTTCTAGTTATTGCTGTAAAAATAATCTCAGGGATGTTAGAACTTTTGTTGCCTAGTTGTTTTTGGATTAAAACTGATATGTTGTATCTCCCACTGCTTACCCTCTTGCTCCCATCTAAAGTATAAATATGTGACGAATTGAGTTCTCGGGTAAGTCTTTGGTTTCCTCCTTTTAACACTTTATATGGGGAACTAAATCAAGAGATTAATATCTGATCATTTTCATACTTTGCTTCCTTCAAAATAGTGTAGTGATTTTTAATGTCTTGTTAGACAGTGTCTGATTACTTGCTTTTTAAATTTTCTTAAAGATCTCAGGAAACAAGCTCGACAGCTGGAAAATGAACTTGACCTGAAACTAGTTTCCTTCAGTAAACTGTGTACAAGCTACAGTCACAGCAGCACCCGAGATGGAAGACGCGACAGGTATAGGTACTACCAGATTCTGTCTCTTACACATTAAACTATATTTTTTTTATTTTATGTGTATAAGTGTAATGCCTGCATGTGTGTGAGTGCGCCTGTGTTGTGCAATGCCTGTAGGGATTAGAAGAAGGCATTGGATCCCCTGGAACTAGAGTTACAGGTAGTTGTCAGCCGCCATGTGGGTGCTGGGAATCAAGCCTAGGTCTTCTGCAAGAGCAGTTGAGTGCTCTTAACTGCTGAGCCATCTCTCCAGTCCAGTATTTTTTAAATTATTATTTTTTATGGGTATGCGTGTATTGCCTGCATATATTGCGTGCATGCATGTATGCACCTGTGTCATGCAATGCCTGCAGAGGACAGAAGAAGCCATTGGATCCCCTGGAACTGGAGTTATGGACAGTTGCCATGTGGGTGCTGGGATTTGAACCTGGGTCTTCTGTAAGAACAGTTTTTAACCGCTGAGCCATCTCTCCAGCCCTACAATATAATTTTTTTATTTTGCATTAAAAAGACATATAACTGTGCAACTTGGTCTGTTGGTGAATTTTTGGTGTTTTCTTTTTTTTTTTTTTTGTTTTTTGTCCTTGGTTTTATTTTTGAGTGACCAAATTCTTGAGACTAGCATTTATTTGGGATCCCTAGACAAAAATTGTGACATGTCAGGAAGAAACTGCTAGAGTTTAAAAAG